AACAGTTCTACTCTGTAACACATGGGTTTGCCATAAGTCAGAATCGACTTGACAGCAAGGGTTTAGTGTGGGGTTTACTACGTAACCCAACTTACACAGTTCTTACAACAGCCCTAGTAAGATCCTCGTTGGCTCAGAGAGGTTAAGTTCCTTGCCCTAGCTCGCCCAATCAACAAGTGGTGGGTCCTGGGACCTGACCCCTGATCCGTCTGACGTCCAAGTCATGCCCTTTCCATGCCCACTACCTCCTGGGGGGGCCCACTGCTCAGGCGAGGGAGTCCGTTTGGCTGCCTCAATGGGCAGAGGCCGTGGGGACCGTCAGAGCAGATGTCTGGGTAGCCTTTCGCCTCTGTCCAGGGCAGAGAGGGAGGCTTGGAGACCAGGCTCAGGCCTGTACCTCTGCCCGTGGCTTCAGACTCCTGTGGTCCTCAACTCAGCCATTCCTTAGCCAAGTTGATCTACAGAGCTCTGAACACCACCTGACTTGACTCGGCTTCATGGTTTGTCTAATCGTTCATTCTGTTTGTCCACCAGAATGTTGGCCCAGGAGGGCAGGGAGTTTTGGATTTTTATCTGTTTTGTTCTTGGCTGTGTCCCACAGTGGTGTTGTTGGGCACCATCGAGTCGATTTCAACTCATAGCGACCCCATGTCATGGTAGAACTGCCCTGTAGGGTTTCCTAAGCTGTAATCTTTACAAGAGCAGATCACCAGGCCTTTCTTCTGTGGGGCTGCTAGGTGGGTTTGAACTGCCAATCTTTCGGTTGGCAGCCAAGCGGTTCACCGTCGCACCACCAGGGCTCCTTAAATATTTGTTGAGCAAATGCACAGATGAATGGTTTCTCATCCTGCTCCTCGGACCCTGAGATTCTGATCCTCCCCCACCTGCCCACCAATCCTGCCATCTGTGAGTGGACCACCTGCATATGTTCAAAAAAGTGTTTGGATGCTAAAAACAGAAATGTTTGGAAACTGCTGCTGTAAATGAACCCAGTTGTGAGAGTGTCAGTGGGTGTGCTCATACGTGTGCACAGATGTGCTCTCCGGCCCAAACTCTTGATGGTGCCCCTACTGTGCGCTGGGTAATGTCTGGGGGCTGCCGCGGCAAAGGTGTTCCCCCCAGTGGGAGGTATCAGTGAGTCCACGGGGGCAGGCAAGGGCCCGGTGATGCCCTGCTCACAGGCACCACGCCCAGAGACACGGATGTGCGCGCGCGCGCGCGCGCACACACACACACACACACACACAGGACATCCACATGCCCTGGAGACATATGCTGATCTACTCCCAGGCTCTAGGCCTCTGTCCCCGCCTGCCCGTCTCCTTCTCTCCTAAGTCTGGCATGGGTTTGGAATGTGTAATAACAGCCTTCAGGGTAAATTAGAACAGGGAGTGAACACTTTGCCCGACCACAGAGAACAGGGCAGCATTTGGGGAGGAAATTGCCACAGAGCAGTGGAGCCGGCTCTGTGTGTGAGTGTGTGTGTACACATGTACATATGCGCTGGTGTGTACACACTCCTAGCTGGTTCAGTGTGGAAGGGCACTGGGTTAGAAGTCCTGGGTTACAAGTTGTTCAAGGCCACTCACTCCCTGGGTGACCTCTTGGAGCCTCGATTTTCTCAGCTGTAAAATGGGAGCAGTATCCCAGCTTTAAGGATCCCTAGGTGGTGCAAATGGTTAACACGCTCGGCTGCTAACCAAGAAGTTGGAAGTTGTAGTCCACCCAGGGGCACCTCGGAAGAAAGTCCTGGCAATCTACTTCCGAAAAATCAGCCATTGAAAACCCTATGGAGCACAGTTCTGCTTTCTACTCTGACACACATGGGGTTGCCATGAGTCAGAATTGACTCGATGACAACTGTTTTTTTTTAAGCTCAGCTTTGTTCACCAGGTTCCTGGGGGATTTAATGAAGGAGGGATTTGGGAGGGGCTTGGTGAATTTTAATGTAGCTATAAATGCCAGGCTGTACTATTACAGCATGTGTGTGTTAACAGGAAGGGGAGTGGGGAGGACAGGTAACTCGGAACCCTATCATGGTGATAATGACGATTAAATATGACAAGAAGCAGCATTTATCAAGTGCTTATAGGTGCCCAAGAGACACCTGACCACCTTCTCTCAGCAGCCCTACGAGGTAGGAGTTGTTATTGCGATCCCATTTTACAGATAAGAAAACTGAGGCTCAGAGAGATTAGAATGGGCTGCTAGTAATAATTCTCACCTCCCAGAGCTGCTGTGAAGCTGAAGGAGGTATTGTAAGGGGCTTGGTGTAGTGTATGGCACCCAGGCCAGACTCAGTAAACTGAGGGATTAAGGTAGCCCAAGCTCTGCAGCTGACTGCCCACGTTTGAATCCTGGCTCCATCACTAATCTGCTGTGTGGCCTCAGACAAGTCACGTAACCTCTCTGAGCCTCTGTGTCCTCATTTGTAAGACGGGAATTATAACAGTACCTACCTCTAGGGCAGGGTTTCTCACCCTCAGCACTATTGACCTTTGGGCTGGATCATTCTCTCTGGTGAGGACTGCCCTATTGACATGCCTCAGCTGCTAACCAAAAGGTTGGAGGTTTGAGTCCACACAGGCTCCCTCTCCTCTCTGGCAGATGGACAGGGAGCTAATGTCTCCTGAGTGGGCGCCTCACCTGCCTGAGTCACTGACACCTCCCAAGGAGCCTGGGAAAAGGTGCTGTCACCCAGTTTTACAGGTGAGGAGACAGAGGCCTAGAGAGGAGAAGTGACTTACCCAAGGTGACACAGCTGCCAATGACTAGGGCCAAGATGGGAACTGCGGCTGCCTGATGTATAACCTGTGCCCCTAACCCTCCCTCCCTCCTTTGATTGTCCTAATTAACAGCCCCCATTTGAGCCCCAGGGGCAGCACTGGACATGCCTGATCTCATTTGCTTCTTCTTGCCACCCTATGAAGGAGCTACCCGTTTCACAGATGAAACCACACAGCATGTAAATAGCAGAGCTGGGATGGAGTCCCAGGCCTGCATGATTCCAGAGTCCACGCTCTCCTTCCCATCAGTGCCCAGAGGGGAGCCAGCCCCCCGCAGGAGCTGGGACCCGCTGACCGCCCTTGTAGCACCTGGCCAGTGTGGCCTTTTGCACTGACTGCCCCCACCCCTCTGGCCCAGGCCTTCCCTCCTGACAGCTTCAGGGCAAACAAGGTGGAAACCAGTCTTTATATGTTCCTCTGCATATATGTTGGGCAAAGAGAGAGAGACATACAAGAGAGAGTTTTTCAGACATCCCCCTACCACCCCCGTGGGATGGTGGGAGTTCCAGGAAGCTCGCCCTCGATACCCAGCCCCCCTGCCCGCCCAGCGCTGTGCCTGCAGAGGACAGGGGCGCTGGTGGCCAGCTAGCAGGGCCTTGCCGCTGCCCCTGCCCTTGTTCCTGGTTCTTGCGGGGCTGAGGAGCCAGAGAGACCTGGGTTCACGTCCTGGCCCTTCTCCCTACAAGCTATGTGACTGCCCCTCTTGAACCTCCAGTTTCCTCATCTGAGAAATGGGAACAAATTATACCTTTGTCATAAAGTTGTTCATTTGTGTGGCACCCTTCTAGGTGGGGGATTCAAGCGTGAACAAAACAGGCATTCTGTCCCTCCCAGCACCACAGCTGGGAATTAACTATCCTTATGGACAAATGGGATAAAGCCTCAAAGGGGAGAGGCTTGGAGGCTGAGGGTGAGGGTGGGGGGACTAGGGAGGGCCTCCCAGAGGAAGGGGCAGCTGAGCTGGGAATACACAGGTGGGCAGGAGTCAACCAGGCAAAGACGGGCATAAAGGGATCAGCTCTTTGCACTGAGGGAAGTCAACTCAAGTCTTGGGGCCTCAGTTTCCTCTTCTGTAAAATGGGGAGCATAATGATGTTGCTGGATGAGGAAATTGAGGACCAGTGGTTCACACAGACGGTTCACAAGCATTTTCTGGGCACCCGAAGCACACAGTTAACGTCACAGTTTGTTTTGTTGTTTGCTGTCATTGAGCTGACCCCTGACTCATGGCGACCCCACGTACAACAGAATGAAATGCTGCCTGGCCTGCGCCATCCCCATGATAGGTTGCGGATGGGACCGTTGTGATCCATAGGGTTTTCCCTGGCTGATTTTTGGAAGTAGATTGCCAGGCATTTCTTCCTAGTTTGTCTTAGTCTGGAGGCTCCGCTGAAGCCTGTTTCGCATCAGAGCAACATACAAGCCTCCACTGACGCACGGGTGGTGGCTGCATTGGCCAGAAATTGAACTGAGGCCAAGTCAAGAGAATTCTCCCGCTGAACCAGCACTGCCCTTGCGGTTATGGTTTAGTAGGTGCTTACTATATGCCAGGCACTGCACTGGCCATGGTAATGCTTGTTTTCCCCATGAACTCAGCTTAGACACCCCATTGTATAGATAAGGAAACTGAGGCTGTGAAACGTTGACTTGCCCAATGCCGTGTAGTTACTAAGTGTGGAGCCTGGATTTGAACCCTGCTCTGTGGGGCTCCGACGCTGCCTTGGTTGGTTAGCAGTAGGCCCAGAGTTCCAGGTTTGGGGTCTTAGGGTGACTCTGAGGCCCTGCTTCCTCAGCCAGTGCCCAAGGGCGCTGGATCTGAGGCAGACTCCTGTTTCCAGGTCCCTCAAAGAGGCTCCTGTTGCAACTCTTGCCTGGGGCTGGCGGCCGACCACATCTGGGAGTGGCCGCCCCGTGCCCCTGTCATTACAAGAGTGGCTTTGAAGCCACTGGCGGTGGTGCTGTTTGCCTACATGGGGGGGGCTTCCTGGAGCCCCCACCCCTGGCCGGGCTCCGCCTGACTCCCCTCCTGCTCTCTTGCAGGCCGAGCGGCACAGACGGGGCCGGGGCCAACATGGCAGATCTGAGTGATGGCCCCCATACGGGGCCTGGGGAGGCGGCTGAGCCCCCCGGAGACGAGAGTGGCACCTCCGGCGGGGAGGCCTTCCCCCTCTCCTCGCTGGCCAACCTGTTTGAGGGGGAGGATGGCTCTCCTTCGCCCTCACCAGCCAATGCCAGTCGTCCCCCCGGCCCGGGTGATGGGCGGCCGAACCTGCGCGTGAAGTTCCAGGGTGCCTTCCGCAAGGGTGTGCCCAACCCCATCGACCTGCTGGAGTCCACCCTTTATGAGTCCTCGGTGGTGCCTGGGCCCAAGAAGGCACCCATGGATTCACTCTTTGACTACGGCACCTATCGTCACCACCCCAGCGACAACAAGCGGCGGAGGAGGAAGGTTATGGAGTGAGTATTGCTGGCTGCTTGGTCAGTGGTCTCCTCTGTGCAGAACCCATCCATCCGTCCATTCATCCATCCACCACTCATCTGTCCCCCCTCCCACATGCTTGTCTCTATCTGTCCACCCTCCTATACACTTATCTCTCTGTTGTCCATCTGTCCATCCATCCATCCATCCATCCACTCATTTATACAATCATTCATCTGCTTATTGACCCACTTACTCATTTGTCCACTCATCCATCCTCTCATCTGTCCATCTATCCATCATCTACCTGTCCATTGTCCACCCATACAATCTTCCATCCAGACATTATTATCCACTCACTTATGCATCTATTTATCCATATATTCATCCAACCACCATCCATCTATCCATCTTCCCATATACTTGTTTTCTGTTGTATGACCACCATCTATCCATCCATCCATCCAGCAACTCATTTGTACAACCATTTACTCATCTATCCATTCATTCATCTGCTTATTCACCCACCTATCCATCCGCCTACCCATTTCACCGGTCCCTCCACTCATCTGTCCATCTATCCATCATCTGTCTGTCCATTATCTACCCATACAACCAATCTTCTATCTAGCCATTATCATCCTCACTTATATCCATCCATCTGTCCATCCATCCATTGTTTACTCATCCATTCATCCACCTACTCATCTGTCCACCTGCCCTTCCATGTGTCCAATCCATCCATCATCCACTCATTCAAACATGCATCTACCCATCCACCCATATATCATCTCTCTGCCCACCCATCCACTCATACAACCAACCTTCCATCCATCATCTGCTTATACAAACATCCATCCATCCCGCCACCTACCCATTGTTTCTATTCACCCAACCGGCCAGCTATCTATCAAACTAGTCAAAATTCATTCATTTCATCTCTAATCTGTATTCTTTTCCCCTTTCATTTCATCTTCTGTACCACCTAACCATGTACCCTGTCATCAATACTTCTAGCACCCAATTAATTCACCTAGTTATCTGTCCATTCCTTTGTTCATTCACTCATTCACTTTCTTAGTCACTGACTCATTCATTCATTCACTCACTAATATTTTCATCCATTTGCTCATCTATTCATCCATCCAGCTATCTACCCACTTCTCCTCCTGGGTCTGCCACCCCAGCTGCCCCTGCTGGGTCTTCTCCAAGATCACTTTCATTCCTGGGCGTCCAGTGGCTTTCCTGGGGCTTGGGGAGAGCTGGAAGCCCCAAGGCATTAACCCTTTCTCCTGCATGAAGGAGGAGGCTGAAAGAAGAGGAGGATGGAGAGAAGGCCTGGGTAGGGTAGCAGGGTGTGGCCGCCTTAATGACAGGGAGCCTCCAACCCCAGACCCCAGACCTCCTAGGCATTTGCCTGGTATCTGCGTGTGATTTGTGTGGCTTTCTGTAAACCCAGCCCCCAGGGTTCAGGACCCAGAATGACCCTGGTATCTGTTGCCTGTAAACTCCCTGCCTTGTGGGATCGAGCCTCCCTTCCTGGCCCTTGAGGGAGTCCAGGGACAATTTGGGGGTGAGGCTCACAGCCTCCTGGTCACCTCCAGCTCCAACGATCACCTCCAGCCCCCATGCTGAGCTAGTATAGTGATGACCCTCTCTAGGTCCCAGCCCTGCTGTCCCTGCTGTGCCCTGAATTGACCCAGACTTGGTAACCAGCCCCTCTCCTAGGCTGCTCCCTAAAACCCCCCCTCAGAGGCTTCTGTGTGTCGTGGAGATGGATCTGAGTATCTGGTGATATCCTCTTGTTGCCTGGCCTTCTTCTCTGCCCCTTGCTGGTCCCAGACTCACACACACCCTTGGATGAAGGCTGTCCACCTTCTCTGTCCTTGCCTGGTCAGGAGCAGTTCCTTTTCTTGATGCACTGAATCATTTGATTCATTTAATTAACGTGTATTGAGCGCTCACTGTATGCCAGGGGTTCCGAGGGTGAGCAGACAAGGTACTGCCCCTGCTCCTGTGGCACCTTCAAATTAGAGGCTGAGATAGTCATCAAGGAAGTAAGCACATAAATATACATTCCAGTAAGAGGAGGTGCTGAGATAGGGGAGGGAGGCCGATGCAGGAAAGGTAGTCTGGGAAGGCTTCCTGGAGGAGTTGACAATGAAGCCCAAAGCTAAGGGATAAGAAGGGACAGCCACGCAGGGGAGAGAAAGAGTGTTCCAGTGGGAGGGAAATGCACAGGTAAGGGCTTGAGGGTGTCCAAGGAACCCAGACAATCTGCACAACCTCTGCTCAGAGGAGGAAACTGAGGCCCAGGGCAGCGAAGTGCCCACTGTCCCCCTCTCTCTGTGCCCAGGCCCTCCTAGGTGCTGTTGGAAGCTGGTAGGCTTGGCGTCTCCCTCCTCCCCCACCCTCAGACCTACTTCAAGCCCTCACCCCACCCCCACTCCAGGCACTCAAGGCCTAAAGGCTTAGTGGGGGCTTCAGCTGAACTGCTGGCTGAGCTGCTGAAGTCCCCAGAGACCCCAAAGTCCTGCCTCAGTGGAGTTGGGGGATGGGAATGGGTGTTCTTTTTTATTTAGTTTTTTGGCTTAAAGGTCCAAGTTCAGGAGCAGGTATAATGGGGGCTGCCCAGGTCATCTCATTAGGAGCTGTACCAGTCTCTGTGTTCCTGTTGGTGAGAGAGCTTCTGTCCCCACTAATGATGTTGAAGATTCCTTTCCTGGTGCCCCCTGAGATGGAGAGCCTGGGGCCTGGGCAGAGGAAGGGGGGTGTCTGCTGTCCCCTTCTCGACTCCATGGCGACTAACGACAGCAACACCTATTGAACAGATTCTTTATTGCTTCCCTATATGTGCCAGGCCTGGGCCGAGTGGCTAACATGAGGAGGAAGATTCCTGCCCTTCTGGTGTCCCTGGTCCCAGCTTGTTCTCTCTTAGAACCTAGCACACAATGGGTGCCAATTAGCGTTTGTTGAGTGACTAAATGAGTGTCTCCAAGCCCTCCTTCTCCTGGCATCTCTGTTTTTTTCCCCTGCTTTCTCTCTCCAGATGACTCTGGGTGGCACAAATGGTTTGCCCTCGACTCCTAACCTAAAGGTTGAGAGTTCGAACCCACTTAGCAATGCTGCGGAAGAAAGGCTTGGTGATCTGCTTCCATAAAGATTACAGCTAAGAAAACCCGATGGAGCAGTTCTACTCTGTAACACATGGGGTCGCCATGAGTCTGAATCAATTTGATAGGCCGTGGGTTTGTTTCTTTTTGTTTCTCCATCTCTTCTCCAGCCCTGCCTTTGTTGTGTTCTTCCTCCGCCTGCCTCTGTAGCTCAGCGCCTCTCCCACGTGCATACAGGCTCTGCGGCACACAGCAGATGCTCAGTAACAAGAGTACCGTTGAGTTCTGTAACATGCCATGGACCTATCTGCATGTTCTCATTTGTCTCAGAGATTAGATGAATAAATGAATGACTAAGTGATTGAATAAGGTGCATTATATTTTAATCTGCTATTCCCCTTTTATTTTCTCCTTGTCTTGTCTCTTTCAGTCTCTGTGTGGCTTATACTAGGTACTCGATCAATGACAAATGGATGGGTGGGTGCGTGAGTGGGTGGATGGATGGATGGGCAGCTTATGTGTTTCTGTCTCAGTCTCCACCCAACACACAGTAGGTTCTAGGTAGAGTGTATTGGATAAATCATTCCTTGGTGTCTCTAGCTGTCCCTCCCCTCCAAGTCTGTCTCCTCCCTAGGCTTCAGCTGCCCCCTCACTCCACGGGCCCCTAAGGCCAGGGACAGTGGTGCGGACAGGGGCCGAGTCCTCCCATCACCCTGCCTCCTTACCCCTCTAGGAAGCAACCACAGACCCCCAAAGCTCCCGCCCCTCAGCCGCCCCCCATCCTCAAAGTCTTCAACCGGCCCATCCTCTTTGACATCGTGTCCCGGGGCTCCACTGCTGACCTGGACGGACTGCTCCCCTTCTTGCTGACCCACAAGAAGCGCCTGACCGATGAGGAGTTTCGGGGTGAGCCACCTAGGAGGGCATAGAGTGGGTGGGCCATTGGGGGCTGGGGGAGGCCTGGCATTGGGTCCCCTTCCCCCTTAGTGTCGTCCCTTGGGCCGGAAGAGCACCGGACAGGAGTTTGGTCCTGTGGGTCTTTCGCCTTGTTACTTCACCTCTCTGTGCCTCAGCTACCTCCACTCAACGCACTCACTTTATGTATGAAAAGGTTAGTGTGGTGAGTCAGCAGACTCCCTCCTCCATCAGGGGGAGCCCTGGTGGCATGGTGGTTAAGAGCTCGGCTGCTAACCAAAAGATTGGCAGTTCGAATCCACCAGCCGCTCCTTGGAACCCTATGGGCCAGTTCTACTCTGTCCTATAGGGTTGCTATGAATCAAAATCGACTCAGCCGCAACAGGTTTGATTTGGTCTCCAGGGAATTCTTTGGCCTTTCTGAACCTCAATTTCCTCATCTGAAAACTGGGGAATAAGAGTAGTCCTGGGGTCCCAGGAGCCCCTGCTCTCCCTCCGAGGGAAACTCTGGGGGGTGGGCAGGGCATCTGGGATTCCTGCTTCGCCTTCCTGGTCTCGGCCCCACCCCACCCTAGTCCCTGGCTGTCCCGGCTTTAGGGCCACCTTCTCAAAGCTGAAGGAGCCCTGGTGGTACAGTGGTTAAGAGCTACAGCTGCTGAACAAAAGGTCAGCAGTTTGAATCCGCCAGCAGCTCTTGGTAACCCTATGGGGACAGTTCTACTCTGTCTTCTAGGGTCGCTATGAGTTGGAATCGACTTGACAGCAGTGGATTTTTTTGGATTCTCTAAGCTGAAGCCCCCACTACCGCTGTCTCTTTGCTCTCCAAACTGTCCAGACTCAAAACACCCACCTCAGGGCGCCAGCTCCCGGCCCTGCCTCAGGCCTTCCCTGTAAAATGAGGTTGGCTTGTGAGCCCTTTCACCAAAGCCAGCCTCTTCTATGTGCCAGGTACCAGCTGGACCCTAATTAACTGATCAAAGGATCCCCCCAAATCAATATAAAAAGTTAAGACGGCAGCAGTTGCTAGCTACCAGGAGGGCTGTCGCAGGAAGGCCGGCCGGCCGTGATCTGCAGCTCCAGCCTGGGGAGTCTCCCCAAGGCCAGGAGAGGCCATTTTCTTTTTGTTGTGGTAAAATAACCAAACACCTGCCACTTCAACATTTTTTACGTGTATAGTTCACTGAATGACATTATGTATGTTCACCACATTGTGCAACCGTCCCCACTCTCCATTTACAAATTTTTCCAGCACCATTAATAGAAGCTCAGTTCCCCCCATGCAACAAGCGTCTCTTTCCCCCTCGCTCCTGCCCCTGGTAGCCACAAAATGAACTTTGTTTTCTCTGCATTTGCCCGTTCCAGATATTTCGTATAAGTGGGATCATACATATTTGTCCCTTTGTGACTGACTGATTTCACTCAATATAACGTTTTCAAGGTAGCAAAGGCCTTTTTTTTTTAGCTTCTGGTACTTTGATTAAGTGCCAAAACAAAGTGACCCAGTCTGTGGTGTATTTTTCATGTATACCTTTATGAAACTGATTCTTTGAACATCAAACAATACAATGCAACATCATTGTGCCTGTCACAGGATTTATCGAAAATATTCACTTATGCTGTCTGGCCGCAAGATGTGGCTTTGTTTTGGGGCACAATTTAAAGTCGTGGGGGGATCCTCACTCTGAGACGGTCTCAGTGACCGTATGAATAATCTACTCTGGAGATAAGCCACATATGAACCTGGCTAAATAACCCCTCCTGGTCCCCTTGAGTTCATTAGGCAAAAGTGGTGGTGGGGGACACTTGAGGGGGGCAAGCTTGTGTGAATTGAGGGCAGTGGTGCGTGTGGCTTCAGTGGGCAGACCAGGCCAGGATGAGCTTGCTACAGCTTCTGGCTTCTTGAGTTCAGGACTCTAAGCCTGATCTGGGAGCCCCCCAGGCCTGTGTGTGTATGTGTGTGTGTGTGTGTGTGTGTGTGTGTGTGTGTGTGTGTGCATGCACGCATGTGCAGATGTGTGTGGGAACCCAAGATCGGCTTGGGGGGCTCCCTGAAATTGTAGAGAATGTTGCAAGCGTAGAGGAGGGTTTAGGGGGCAGTGGTGGTTCGGTGGTAAATCCTCACCTTCCATGCGGGAGACCCGGATTCTATTCCTGGCCAATGCACCTCATGCACAGGGACCACCTGTCTGTCAGTGGAGGCTTGCATGTTGCTATGATGCGGAACAGGTTTCAGCAGAGCTTACACAGAGACAGACCAGGAAGAAAGGCCTGGTAATCTACTTCCAGAAATCAGCCAGTGAAGACTGTGGATCACAATGGTTCAATCCTGCTGTGTATGGGGTTCCCATGAGTTGGGAGCTGACTCGAGGGCAGATAACAAAAACAGCAGAGGGGGATTTACGTGAAGCTCATGACACTAATTAAGCTTCAGGGCCCTCTGCTTGCTCTGGCCCCTTTCAGGCTCTGGACCTAATTTTATATTTAAAATTGTGTGCCCTTTTCCACAGAGGGCCCCCAAATTGTGTAAGCTTCAGTCCCACAAAACCTGGATTCGCCCCTGAATGTTTTTCTGACTAGAAGTTCACGAACTTATATGATTTTCTGGGAAGCCTGTGACACCCCCCAAACTCCTGGCAAAGTTAGACAACCTCCACTTTGCAATTGCAAGGTTAGGACCCCTCACTCCAGCAGCCCCCTATGGGAAGAGCCACTTCACCACCTGGTGGTCGAGCCCTGGAACTGTGTTTATCTTTCCCCATCTCTGGGAAGATGCTGTTCCTGGTATTTCATCCCAGAATCCAGGCTGGCAGCCCCTACCCCGCTGTAGCCCAGCTCTGGGGCTGTGGAGACCCAAAGCCAGGGTCTACATCCACACCCCTCACAAGCCACTTTGGGTCATCTGTGGTTTGGAATTATCTCTAGTGCCCAGCTTGCCCCTTCATTGAAAGTTTATTAACACAACAAATGGTATTGGGCACCTACCAAGTGTCAGGTACAGTGCTCAGTGTGGGGGTGAGGGGGGCATGGTGAATGTAGCAGGCATGACCCTGCCCTCTAGTTGCTCACAGTCTCCTGGGTGAGACCGACAATGTTCAAGCAATCACAGAAATATTCACACGATCACAAACTATCCTGTGTGCCAACAAGAGGCTGTGTTGGAGGATTTGACCTAGTCAGGAAAATCTGGGAGAGCTTCCTGGAGGAGGTGACACTTGAGCTGAGTCAGGAATGAGCTGCAGTTAACCAGGTGAAAAAGAGGAGGCAGGAGTGTTTCAGATCAGGAAGGGAATGGAGGGACAGCATGCGCAAAGGCTCTGTGGCTCACCATGATCAGAGTTGCAGTCTGAGGTGACCACTCTGTCTGCTATGTGGAAAGTGGATTGAAGGGAGGCCAGAGGGCTGGGGAACCAGGGAGACATCTTGGCTATGCAAGAGAAATGGTGGCTGGACCAGGTGGTGGCAGTGGAAGTGGAGATGGGTGGATGGATTGAAGAAATATGAGGTAAAATCGATAGGACATGCTGGGAGGTTGGATGTGGGGGAGAAGGGGAAGGCAGGGACAAGGATGATGCCCAGGACACCATCCTCTGAGAACGGGAGGTACTGGAGCTGGAGGCAGCTTTTGGGAGGGAACGACAAAGAGGTCTGCATTAAGAGGTGCCGGAAAGACAATTAGAAAACAGTTAGCACCTGGAGGCTAGAGTTGAGTGTGGTCATACCTGGACAGCTCCCTCTGGGGCCTTGGCCAGAGTTGGGGCAGCCCTTCCATTATGCAGATGGCAGATTGGAGTCAGTTATTCATTCAGGAAGTATTTTCCAGGTGTCCACTCTGGGAGGGCAAGTAGTGGGGCGGGAGGCTTGTCCAAGTAACAGCCTCACTCCATAGAGGCCTGGGACTGGAACTGAGGTCTCCACGAGTCTTTCAGGAAACCCTGGTGGCGTAGTGGTTAAGAGCTACGGCTGCTAACCAACAGGTCGGCAGTTCGAACCCACCAGGCGCTCCTTGGAAACCCTGTGGGGCAGTTCTACTCTGTCCTGTAGGGTCACTATGAGTCGAAATCGACTCGATGGCAACGGGTTATGAGTCTTTTAAGTTCTTGCCTCTGATGCCTGGACCTAGGGAAATGGTTGTTCCTAAGGCACCCCCATGGAATAATTGCAACCAGAAAACCACAGCTGTTGCCATGGAGTCGATTCCAACTCATGGCAACCTAATGTATCACAGAGTAGAACTGCTCCGTAGGGTTTTCTTGGGTTAATCTTTATGGAAGCAGATTGCCAGGCCTTTCTTCCACGGTGCTACTGGGTAGTGCCTTTAGGTTAGTAAAGAAGCACAAACCATTTGCACCACCCAAGGGCCTTTTTAATAACTGCAACAGGTAGTATTTATTGAGAACTCCTATCTGCCTGGTGCTGGGCTAATCAATAACATTGATTAGTTCATCGATTCCCCGTCATAGTCTCAACTGAGCTGAGAAGGAAACCAAAGCATACAGAGGGTCATGCAGCCATTGGGAACAAAGCCAGGATTCGGACCCCGAAGTGCCTGATTCCAGGGAAGAGCCCATCTCCCCACACTAGCGGCTCCCACCCACTGGCCATTCCGGAGTCCCCATTTGATGTCGCCCTGTGCTTAATTCACAGAGTTTTCCTTTGATTAACTCACTTTTTAAAAATATAAACTGGTGTAACCATAAAAATATATGCAAGGGAAAGAAGAGTGTTGAGGGACATTAGTAAAAGGTGTTAAGGACCCACTAGTACCGAATAGAGACTGATTTCGTGAGAAAGATGGAGATTTGGCCTTGCACTTAGGCAGACCCCCTAAAATCCTCTCCCACCGCTCCTAAGGTAATTTCAGGTCCACCGTGGCATGCATGGAAACCCTGGTGGCGTAGTGATTAAGAGCTACTGCTGCTAACCAAAAAATTGGCAGTTCAAATCTACCAGGCGCTCCTTGGAAACTCTATGGGGCAGTTCTACTCTGTCCTATAGGGTCGCTATGAATCGGAATGGACTCGATGGCAACGGGTTTGTTTGGTGGCATGCATCCCTCATTTTGGGGAACGCTGCAGGCCCCCTCCACTTCCTCTAGGGGTACTAGTGTGAAATGCTTCCTGTTGAAATAGGTAGGCAGACACTGCCTGCTGTGTTTCACTTTTAGAGTTTCATTAGTATTCTAAAGGCTCTGAGAAGTCCTGCAATAAAGAAATAGAGTTGGCTTTGTTTGTTGCTGTTGTGGTTAGCTGTGACTCCTGGTGACCCCATGCACAATGCAACAAAACTAGGCCTGGCCCTGTGCCATCCTCATGATTTGTTGTGGATCAGAACGTTTCAGTCCATAAGGTTTTCATTGGCTGATTTTCAAAAGTAGATCACCAGGCCTTTCTTCCTAGTCTGTCCTTGTCTGGAAGCTCTGTTGAAATCTGTTCAGCGTCCTAGCAACACGTAAGCCTCCACTGACAGGCAGGTGGTGGCTGCGCATGAGGTGCATTGGCTGGGAATCAAACCCAGGTCTCCCGCATGGAAGGTGAGAATTCTACCACTGAACCACCATTGCTCCCTTGGCTTTGTTGAGTCCAGCATGTTCCCTTATTTATTGGATCACAAAGCCCTTTTTAAAATTCTGCAGAACATGTTTGGGAAAAAAAACATGTTTTGGAAATAAATAAATAGGAGGGACGGTTGCATGGTATCATGAATGTCATTAGTGCCACTGAATTGTACACTTGAAAACATGGCGAAAATTTTATGTTGTATATATTACAGCACAATAAAAAAATTTCTCCACGACAAGCTTTGGGAAGTATTGACCTATAGACTGCAGCTTCCCATAGTTAAAAACACGTGTACCCCATGAATTTATTTGACCCTCTTTGTGCTGTGAGAAGCAGCAAGAATGGGTGGACTTCCCCACTGGGCAGACGGGGAACTGAGGCTCAGAGAGGAGAAGCAACAGAGCCAGGACCAGATCCCAGGGCCCCTGACTCCCTGCCCAGGGCTCCATCCCCTCCTGCCCAGCAGTCGAGGGGCCGTGGGCCGAGTACTGCTTCACCCCGCACATCCTTGCCCCCAGAGCCGTCCACGGGGAAGACCTGCCTGCCCAAGGCCCTGCTGAACCTGAGCAGTGGCTGCAACGACACCATCCCCCTGCTCCTGGACATCGCCGAGCACACCGGCAACGTGCAGGAGTTCATCAACTCGCCCTTCCGGGACGTCTACTACCGAGGTGGGGCCGGGCTAGGCCAGACCAGGGGGGAGGGGGGAGGGGCTGTGGGAACTGGTAGGGGTGTCGGGGGCACCACCCTGGCTTGTCTGGCCCCGAGAGCTTTGGTCTGTGCCTCCAGTACCAGCATGTACCAGGAACTGATCGTTGAATGAATGAAGGAAGGAAGGAAGGAAGGAACAATAATTAGCCCTTCCAACTTTAATATTCTGAGTCTCAGAATCAAAGCTTCCGAGATTCTGAGCTACAGTGAGCCTAGTAACCCATGAACCTGGAGTTCTGGACCTGAGATGCTATGGTTCGGACACCCTGAGACTCCATGATAACGAGTCTGTGAGCCAACAGCTCTAAGAAGTAAGGGTGACCCGGTTCCAAGCTCCCTCCTTAGTTCTAAATTCTGAGATGTATGAATCGGAGTTGACCTTTCAGATGCCTTGATATTAAGCTTCGAAGCCCATGAGTTTCACATCCATGGTGCAAAATTCTGTGAGACCAGGATGTCATTGTTACCTCTCTGCCATTGAAGTGTGTGTCAGTCTGAAAGTCACCACGTTTGCAGTCTCTCAAGTTGATATCCTTCAAGCCTAGAACTCTGCTCCGCCCGGTGCAACAGAGCTAGGCTCATATGAATCAAACACTGCATTCCGGAGACCGCCTGAGGCTCTGTTTGCTGCCCTGGGGTGGGGCTGGCTGAGGCTCCAGCCTGCAGTCCCCACCTCAGTGTACACATTCAGCCCGCCTAGACCTGGTAGGGAGTCCTTGGGTGGTGCCAGTGGTTGAGCCTTTGTCTACTAACCAAAAGATTGGTGGTTCAAACCCACCCAGAGGTGCCTTGGAAGAAAGCCCTGGCGATCTGCTTCCAAAAGGTCAAGCCTTGAAAACCCTATGGAGCAGTTCTACTCTGCACACCTGGGGGCACCATGAGCTGGAATGGACTCAACGGCAGCTAATAACAAGACCTGGTAGGGTCTCCTCCCCGGGTGACTGTCCCTCTGTACCCCTGCAGGTCAGACTGCCCTGCACATCGCCATTGAGCGCCGCTGCAAACACTACGTGGAGCTCCTTGTGGCCCAAGGGGCCGACGTCCACGCCCAGGCTCGAGGGCGCTTCTTCCAGCCCAAGGATGAGGGTGGCTACTTCTACTTTGGTGAGGAGGGGCCCTGATGGGGGTTGGGACACCAAGGGGAGAAGCTTGGAGGTGGGGGGCAAGGGGTACAGGCTGGTGTCTTCAGCCCTGACAGCTCTCCAAGCACTAGAGCAGCATTGGCCAGGGGCCCAGACCCGCCCTGGAGTCACGAGCTGTGTTTCTGTCTTGCTCCCTGAGTTTATGCTGTGAGAAGGGAGAGCTGGGAGTCAGAGCCCTTGGTCCAAAAGCCCCTCTGCTCCTTGCCAGCCATGAGACCACCAGCACAGCACCTCACCTCCCTGAGCCTCAGCTTCCCCATCTGTACAATGGGTGCATGAGAACCTGGGGTGGAGATGAGGCGGGACGGAGTTGATGAGTCCTTAGCACCCAGCACCTTGCCGTGTGAGTCCAGCTACACTGGGGCCAACTGTCAGATTGCTGGACCCGGTCCCCATCACTGCCATGTCCTTGTGGCTGGACTACTGAAAGATTTTATCTCTCCTGCTCACATTCATATTATGTGGGACCTGGGGACAAACTCAGAGATTCCACCATCGCATATGTCCAGCCCCTCCAGCTACTTTCCAGTTGCCGTTGAGTTGATCCTGACTCGGGGACCCCATATGTGTCAGAGTAGAACTGTGCTCCATAGGGTTTTATTTTTTTCTTCCCCAAGTTGTGTAGTTCTTTTTATTTGTTTATTTATTTTTTCTTCCCACCTTGAGGCTCTGCCATCTTCAGCATGGCTTCCAAGGTGTCAGTCTGCCTCAGCTGAGTGGAAAGGGAAAGAATACTGCAATCTTTAACCGTGATTATAAATAGATATAAGAGTAGGTGGGATAGGACATTGGGGTGACGGAGTGGAGATGGGGATTAGAGGGTAGAACCGGAGATCTGGAAGCTTACCAGTCAAGGATTCTTTTTTTTTTCTGGGTGAATTTTTTTCTTAATTATTTATTCATTTTTGTTGAGAATATACACAGCAAAACATATACCAGTGCCACAGTTTCTACATGTACAATTCAGTGACACTGATTACATTCTTCGAGTAGTGCATCCATTTTCAATGGCTGGTATTTTGGAAGTAGATTGCCAGGCCTTTCTTCCAAGGCACCTCTGGGTGGACTTGAACCACCAACCTTTAGGTTAGCATCCGAGGGCATTAACCATATGCACCACCCAGCGACTCCTCCAGCCCCTCACAGCCCCCAAATCCTCATGGCCATGCTCCCAAATAGCCACCCCCCCATCACTCCAGCATCACCCACAGAAGTGATGTGCTCACAGTGGTGTGGTATCAGTCCTGCACCCGGAGTCTCATGGGGTTCCCTAAGGATCCGCAGGCAGATCCCCACCTCAGGGGGTCCCCTACACTGACTACCCCCCATCCACCTGGCCCACAGGTGAGCTGCCCCTGTCACTGGCCGCCTGCACCAACCAGCCCCACATCGTCAACTACCTGACGGAGAACCCCCACAAGAAGGCGGACATGCGGCGGCAGGACTCACGCGGCAACACGGTGCTACACGCGCTGGTGGCCATCGCTGACAACACCCGCGAGAACACCAAGTTCGTCACCAAGATGTACGACCTGCTGCTGCTCAAGTGTGCCCGCCTGTTTCCCGACAGCAACCTGGAGGCCGTGCTCAACAACGACGGTCTCTCACCCCTCATGATGGCCGCAAAGACGGGCAAGATCGGGGTGAGCGTGGGCCCAGGGGGGCGTAGCTGACCCACTGTAAAAATGACTTGGGGGCAGTGTCTGACCTCCTCTAACTTCATAAGGGGGAAGGAGAACCAAGATCAACAGCCCAAGGCTGATTCCTATGAGCCAGAGGTCAGACATGCCTCCTCTCTCTGCCACCTTTACCCATACTGACACCAACCGTCCCTCCCACAGCACTCTCTACTTCTCTAATTCATTGCAGCGGCCACACAGAACTCACAGACAATACTCACGACTGTGGGGTTTATTAGGAAAGTACCAAGTTACGGTTCAGACTCAGGCACACTCGGGATGCAGTTCTTAGATCAGGACAGTCTCTTACCAGCTGTGCTTGCAGGCACGCCTCTCCCTGGCCCTTGGCCTCTGCCCAGAGGCACTCAGCTTTCTCTTGCCATGTACCAGGAAGCCCTCCATGCCATCTTCTGCTGCCGCCCCTCACGATCTTCAGTGTGAACAGCTCTCTCTGTCTCCTGGTTCCAGGAGCTTCTCAGCGCAGGGATCCTGGGTCCAAAGGACATGCTGGTTCCTGGCTGTTCTTCCTTGGTGGTGGTGGTATCTTCTCTTTCTCACCTCTGAGGTGGCTCATTTCAAGCCCAGTAGGATGGCAAAACTGACCAATCCCTTTGGTGGGCCACAGTTACCCTATCACACAGTCCTGCCCAGTCACTTGAGTGGGAGTTACAAGATTATAGTTAGAAAGGCCACACAAAGGTGATCCATTGTACCGCACCCACCCACTCTTACTCCTTTACACACACACATACACACACACACAGGAGGGGCTGCTGCTGTCATTCATTATTGTTAATAAATGCACCCACATCCCATTATGTCAACCCCAGGGTGCAGATGTTCCAGCTCAAGAACCTGCTGTGGCTCCCTCTTATCAAGCTAAACTACTGAACTTCATCCCAGAGCCTCTCTCCTCATTTTACCCCATTGGATGCTCACCACCCCTCAACCAGCCAGGA